ACTATGCCTTTTATTTAAGGGTAAGAACGTAGTTAAATAACGGCCCCCTTCGTTAAGGGTAATTTTAGATTCGGCACAAGTTGCCGAAGAAATCCTCCCGGCAACTCAGAGACCCTTGATAAAATGTCTGTCCCAATGAGAATCGGCCTTAATAAACAGTGATCAGCACGAGCAGTTGCCGGAACTTCAAAAGACTCCTAGGAACAAACAGGTGTGATTACTCACGGGGTGCATGGGCTGGTTGGATGAAACTCATTAACATGATGTGCAACGAAGGCGGTTGCCACCACCCAGAGTGGGCCCTTCCACTATTACGGCAACTGGCGGCTCGATCTCGATCGACAAACCACGGTACAAGGAATGAAGACCATGTTCTCGCCAATTGGACGTACTATACAAGCGAAATTCCTGCGGTGATCACTTCTCACAGAATCGGACAACTCGGTTTGAACAACTTGTTTAAAAATCCGTCACAGTTGTTGCTGCGGAGGTTCACAGTGTGATGAAACGAACCACAAAGTGCCTCTGTGGCAGTTTAGCAGAACTGGGGAGTAAGCTGGTATTGACCAGGAATATGTGCTCGCAGACGGATCTGAAAATTATAATGATAGTAAATAACATCGTTATTATTGTTATTACTATCATTATAACTATTTATTCATAATAATTTCCTCTTGCAGTTAGCTTTTAACCCGCAAGGTATAGGTGTTACGTCCAAGTTTTGCTCCTTCCCGTTATTGAAGTACAGTATGTCGATCTATTTGCAATTCACGAACCCAAATTAACAAAAGAACCAAACTCCAAAGTAGGTACCAAAGTTTATTTGCAATTCACAAATAATCGACCAAAATGTCGTTCGTCAATTTACAAATAGTCGACCAATGTCGTTCTAACAACAATAATTATAATAATTACAAATACCTTCAATTTTATAGGTTCCTGGAGCAAAAACTCCAAATGACCGAACCAAGACAAACAGAAATCAAAATGCCCGAAAATAATAAATTAAACAAGTTAATAAGTTAAGTAAAACAAATATACCCAAAAAACATGGTGAAATTAATGACATTAATATAAAGGTTTTAATCAGCCAAATGTCTTCATTTCTCCCGTAACAGTAGGTTCATACGCGTTCGCCCATTCCAAGTCCAAAACCGATAATTCTGGGAGAGAACGGTTCTATGTTTAATTAAGAAGGGAAATACAGACAATTACCAAAACAATATTACACCTTCGAATTTTCAATTACCACAATAGGTTGCTTTGCTGGAAGAATAAGTGCTTCCAGTCCGTTACTGCTGGAGAATCAAATCTAAATATAGCTGTAGCCATACTGAGTATCAAATTTAAGCAACATATGTATAGTTCAGAAGGAAACATAAAAACTTCGATATAAGCACAAGGTATAGAAATAATAGCAAGATACAAATGATGAAATCTCAAAATGGAATCAAATAGAGTACAAAAATATCAACAGAAAGAGTCAGTCATATCATAACACAAATGTATATACATGGAAGGATTTTCCAAAAACAAAACCTTCAAAAAGATTCTACAATAACTCAAACAGGACTGCCCCTTGACAATCTAGACGACAGAGTGAGCTTGCACGTCAAAACACCTCCGATGCAATACTTACTTTAATTAACTTACATCTCTTACCTCCAATAGATCATAGGCCATCGACAAGTATTCTCTACTCTACTCTGCCCTAGGCTTCCCTTTCCCGTTCTGTCAAATTTTTTTTCACTCCTTTCATGTCTTCTACTATATCTCGGAGTAATATTTTCCTCGACCTTCCTCTTTTCCTTTGAGGGCTTGTCTTGTGGCGCGGTTGGGTGGTTTCCGCCGTGTATGTCCAATCCACTTACACCAGCTCTTATTGATGTTCTCCTCCGCTGGAATCTGGTTTGTTCTCTCACACAGTAGGTTGTTAGTGATGGTGTTTGGCTAACGGATATGAAGTATTTGGCGTAGACAATTGTTAATGAATACTTGTACCTTCTGGATGACGGCAATCGTAGTTGCCTAAGTTTTCGCTCAAAATAGTAGAATTGTCTTCACATACGTATTGAAAACTCTGATTTTGGTGTTGATCGATAATTCTTTGGAGTTTCAGGTGTTCTTCAATCGTGGAAATGCTGTCCTTGTAATGGCCGTCCTCGAATTCACGTGTGCATCAGATCCATCCAGCTCGTCAAAGATGCTGTCCAGATTGTAGGATACACACTGAGGTTTGGATTGAAGAATAACTGTCTAGATAGTGTAGATACGAGCCTTACCCACTTGAAACCAAAACAAGTGATTGGGTACATGACGGTTCTAATATTAATCATGAATATAAATGTACATCATTGCCTAAACTAATATAACCACTCAGTTATTCCACTAGTAATTGTTCAATTAATCCAATCAGCAGCAACAAATAAATGGTATTCCCTCCTTTCTGGACAGATCAGATTCATTAGAAATATAATATTTGGTTGCTTTATAATACAGAGTGCCTGTTATTCTGGAAGGGTGTTAATGTCCTCCAAGGCATCCCCACCAAGAGTGTTTGGTTTGTGAATGTTGTGTTTTGTGGGAAAATTCCGCTTTTCCATTTATGTATGTTGAGACCTGATGCTGAGGCTTCTGCTACACTGGTTGACTACTCTTTCATCTGTTATTGCGCGTGAGATAGAAGAACCAGAACATCTGAGAAGTCTATATCGTCCAGCTGCTTTCTAGATATCTACTGTTTGCCGTGCCCCCCTCCCGATGTTGACGTCTTTCTAATCCAGTCAATCGTCAGGAGGAAGGGAAATAGTGAGAGTGAGCAACCTTGCCTGACAACACCGGTCTTCACTTAGAACGAGTCTATCAGCTGCTCTGCGTGCACGAATCCGCAGTTGAATCCATAAGAATTCAATATTATGTTGACTATCTTCTCGAGCACACCATAGTGTCATAGAAGCCTCAACGGTGTTGTCCTGTCCACGCTATCAAACGCTTTCTCGTAATCAGTGGAGCTGATTTAGAGTGTTGAGTTTCACTCAAGTGATTGTTCCACAATGATCCGTAATGTTTCAATAGGGTCGGTACATTGTCGATTCTCTTTACCTCGAAGTTGGGCATCTACAAAGTTCCTGATTCTGTTTAAAAACACCATGTTGAAAATTTTGCCAGGTATTGAGAGAAGAGTGATGCCTCCGTAGTTATCATACTTGCTGAGATTGCCTTCCTTCGGTATTTTGACGAGGTATCCTTCTTTCCAGTCTGATGGTACTTTTTATTCCTCCTAAATAATTTTGAAGAGTGTGGAATATTTTTTCAGTTGTTGCCACGTCTGCTTTCATTGCCTCAGCTGTGATGTTGTCTGATCCTGCTGCTTTGCCGCTCTTGATTTGTCTGATGGCCATGCCTTGAGGACATAAAGTTTCACAGCAAGTTAATTGGAGTACATGTGAGCTGGCAAGTTGCGATATCAGGCGTTTCACAGGGAACTGCCTTAGGTCCACTCCTTTACCAGGTATTAATTATTGACCATTTAGATAAAATTACTTCAGCGGCACTAATCTGAGCAGAAGGAGCAAATGTCTATAGGTCCGTTCGAAGCAACGAGTATTCAACTGAGCTTCCAGAGGTCTAGGCATGAGCAGTAAACCCGGGTTAAAACATAATCAGCCGAAAAGTCAAGTCATGAACACTCTTCACACGCGACGCTGACATCTTACATGCTCAGTGAAATCCCACTTCCCAGTGTCTCCCCAGGGCGCGATCTAGGTGTAATAACCATGGAAAACCTAAAAACCGGTTCAAACTTCATAGTGGATGGAGCCAAGGATAATGCGACTCTTATTTTTATACGAAGAAAACTCATGAAATCACCTCAAAATGGTTCTTAACTCCTTTTAAAACATACGCACGGCCGCAACTTGAAGTGCAAAACGTAATTGCAACCCCCTCTTTGAAACAGACATAAATTTCATGGACCGAGTGCAGAGACGAGAAACTAAATGAGAGGTATACTCTTTCGCTTGGGATTACACCCACTGAGTTAAGTGAGAATCAGAAGTGATCTGGTAATGCCACAGTATATCAACGTTAGTATCTTGCCAAGACATGATCACCACGCTTCTCAAGGAAACTCTCGAAAAATTGCACATCAAGGAGCGAACGCCCATGTTCACACACAATTTTTGTCTGTAGGAGTTGTCCCAATTTGGAATGCTCTCCTTGCCGAGGTGACGACAGCCACCTTAGTAAATAATTCAAGAAGAGACTTCATAAACGAGTACTCACATTCGAATTATCATCTCCTTTTTTGACTAACTGTGCTTGATGCATATCTCGAGACTTGCTTTTTGTTATCATTTTTATTTTCTCACATCAATAACTTACCTGTGTTTCATCTTCTTTGCTTACACTTCTGTCCTCTCCCACAATCTTCGCTGAAGTCTTTTTTTCTTATTGGCATCCAAATTATCTCTTTTTTCTTTCCACACTGCGACTAATCTTGACGGAATAGCAGCAGCTACGATGGAACCCCGCTGCCCTGAGACAAACGTTTTCACGCAAATCGAGGATAACCAATTCACAAAGATCTGCCAACTAACTGGAATTAGTGCAGTTGAATGGCTAGACTGCCATCCATTAGACATCACCAAATACCTGGAACCATACTGAAGGAACAAGAATAAAGCGCAAGGAAATCAGTTGGTTTATATTAGCTCGTGGTAAAGGTATTTAATTCCATTTTCTACGAAACTACATTTTATTCATTTTGGTTATGAAAGAATGTGACTAGGACTATGCTCCATATTCTACAATCAAACTCCTTTATTACCTAGAAATGGAACCGAAACAACAATTGGTTATCTGATTTTGTTCATTGGACATTACCGAACACCTGGAACCGTACCGAAAGAACGAGAATCGAGCGCGAAGAAATCAATTGGTTTACACTAGCTCGTGAAAAAGATATTGGATATTGGAAGTTTGATAATGTTAGCCGTAACATTTATATGGTACGTTACGCAGCATGTTTGCACAAACTGTCTTCTAATTTTATAGCGATATTCTTATGGTAAGGGCCGCACATCAGTTTAAGACTCTAAAATCATAATAAACTTATCCAGCGTTTTAGCAACCAAAAGGCATTCACAGTTGCTTATCTAAGTCAATTACATGCCGGGTGTGTTTCGAAATGCACCTAATCGGGGTCTTATAAATAAATGGTTAAAATTGTACAGAATGTCCTTCATTTTAGAACCTCTCGTTCCTCACACTTGGTTTATGATAAGGTGGGGAAGTAAAGTATAGATGACTGATTGACCTAATTAGGAGACAATAACTACTATTTAAGCTAGTACCTATGTTTTACTGTCAACTTATTTTGTTTCTTCTTGTAGAACAGACCATAATATTAACATACAAATTCATGAACATTTGTGACTCATGCCGTAAGAGTTGCCAGTAAAACGTGAGTACATTAGCAAACTATTTGTTAGCAATCCTCGAAAGGGCTATTTGCAGTTACTTTCATGCTGAAAACGCGCCTAGTTTCTTGATTAGGATAAAAAGGAAATATTTATGAACTCACTGTCTTTAGCTTTTCACATGATACCGGCGATGACAACCCATATTTAGTGTTCAACGGCCGGAAACATCAATTTGTAAGAAACTAGCTGGTGGGGTATCGCTAACTAAAAACTCATTCAGAAATGCATTTATAGGACAGTAATTAATACCTGAGCTACGCCACATATAAACGATTGAGCTGGTTTGTGTCACAGAACAGTTTTGGACATATAGCAAGGTCAATATTGCATAATTTACTCGCATTCCTTTGGCCCCCCGTTTTGTATTCTTTTACGTCCCACCCGTTTTTCTAATTGGGCTAGTTGTAGTAAACGTGTCTCTATCTCATCTAATGTTAGCTTGGCTTCACAACCTATGGTTCCAGTTTTTACTGGCAATATATGGATGTGAAACAGCCGGTAAGAGTAAAAGATATTCGTAGACTACTGGTTTTCGATCATAGATTTTTTCGAAACATTGCTCGTGTATCCTGGGACAACCGAGTAAGCAATGCCATCGTTAGGAAATCAGTAAGGTAAGGACATGTGTTACGTATGCCAAACCACCGACTGCCCCGACGAGCTATGTTTTGTGGTGTAGGAATAGGTTGGAAGAATGCTAAGGACGGCCAGACCAAGACATGACACAAATCCATGAAGTCACTGACAAGTGAACTGAGTCATGTTGGTAGATGTAGGCTAGCTGGTCGGGGTCCGCGACACGATAACTTCCTGAATAATATTTTGCATTCCTAATCTGTTACTGCTAATACTTTTACTACCTGTACGACTATGGGATTTGAACTGACAATTTCGTTTATGATAATTTGGTATGGAGACGTGGACTGATGTACATATGTACAAAGTTCTATGTTGTTCCTGACTGACCAACTAGAAGCCACATAGAATGCACTGCTCCAGTTTTTTTCCCACAATTGTGTCCTGTCGCCAGATTCAAAGTAGATGGTGTTGTATTTGTATTCAAGAGTTGAAAGTTGAGTGCTTTGACCGCCTATTTACTTAAATTAGTTTGAGGTAATTCACCTATTAATTTTCTTTACATTGATATTAACCAACTTAGAACACCAAGTACTCAAGTTCAATCGCAACCTATTATTTCATGAATGTAGCTACTGTCTAAGAAAACATCACATCTACGAGTCCCTTTTTTTAAAAACATTATTTTTAGATTATCATAAATCTAGTTATATGTCTGTAAAACTTATGATCCTAGTCCTTCCGTTACCTTCAATTCAGTCAGTTGCAACCTAGAACCTGGTACGTATGCATATCATTTCAAGTGGCCCTGCCCCATTGGCACATAATTAAGATTTTGAGATCAAATCACTGATTTGTAGGGTAGTAACATTATCAGTCAGGGGGGAATGATGTCCGACTCAAGAATGAATCAGTGAACTAAAGTCAAAATTTATGGAGAACTCAGCTTAGATTTTGTTGGAGGACAAAGAATAGATACACTTGCACCATTACAAACGGTTTTGAGTCATTCTATTCGAAGTCTAACCACCAGTTATGATCATCACGCGGACCCAAACCACGTATTCTACACCTACTAATATGGCTCAGTTCGGTTGTCAATGGCTTCATGGATTTGTTCCATGTTTTGGTTTGGGCACCCCTGTCTTTAATCCAGCTTACTCATACATCAAACAACATCGCCGTCGAAGTAGGTGGTGGTTAGGCATAGGTAACACATGTCCCAACTATCTTAGTTGATGAAGACTCATTATTTCATAAGCAGATTTATCATCCTTACCTAGTACCCTATTAAATTTTCACATGTATACTGCGTCTCCGAAACGCGCATACAGGTACGATCCAGGTACAATCATTCACTCGATCTCACGTTGTCAGTATAGAAGACATAAGCAATTTATCCTTCTCATGGTTTCACTGGTGTATGTATAGTACTAGGTTCTAAAACAGACTCGGCTCTCTTAGACTATATTTTGACAGTCAGTCGCTGGTGCGCTGTTCATCTGAACAGGATAGTAAGAATACGCGAAAATAAGCAGTTATCTATAAACGTAACCTAGTGTAAATACTCTTATCACAATATTTACTGACGTCATCTAGCTGCTGATGTCCGAATTGATGTATTTATCATTTTCAAATTAGTTTCATAGGACATAAGTCACTTTGATGAAAACAAGCAGACCCAATGTGTGAACACCAATAAACGTTTTAAGTAGTACTTTTCGGAACTGATCACTTACGAAGAAATATTTGTATAGTACCAGTAGATTTTTAGGATTGAAACTTGTTAACATGTAGTCGTTTACTAAATTATCTGGTTGGTGTATCATGGCGTTTATTTATTACTCTTTCATCACTCAAAAAATGCTTTATCTACTTTCTATAAATCTATACTGATTAATTATACAAAAAATTGGTCCCATTCAACTTCTTACGTGTCATGCTACAAGGGGAAAATATTCTGCCATTGAATTTACACAGTGAGACTAAGAAATTGATTTAGCATTTGTAAGTAAAATGGGGAAGAGGACTAGTGTCACGATATCTAGGCTTAGGAAAATTGGTATGTTCGACGAGCCCATCTCAAATGATTTAGGTCATTCGTAGTTGTTACGTGGATACACTGACCTACTCTAACTAAAGTGATTGCAACCTAGTTTAAATAGCTTAGGGATTGGTCGCCACCAATAAGCCAAAGTTTCAATTCCGTTAATGTAAAGTGCGACAGAGCAGCAGGTTTTGAGTTAGTAGATTTGAAAATCCAAAGGGACGATGATGTAATACTTCAAAATAAATTAGTCAAGTTAGGGTTCGGTAACTCATCGTTTCTACATACTAGTAGGAATAACAACGTCTTAGTGACCACAAATCCAGTTAAATGAATCCAGCTTTTGCCACCCTTAACATTTTCTACTGTCATATTCCGATACTGCCATCAAATTTCTTGTTTTATTTTATTCATATTTTGCATGACGCATGACGCATAAAATATCCCTGATTTTTTCTAAGAAGTAACTGAACTGTATCTGATTTTCCCTATACTATAACTTTTCTTAGTCGTTACATCGTCTCGGTATTTTCGTATGCACTAAGTTTACTCTGACATTTCTTTCCAGATATCAAAACTTTGTAGTCAGTCCTTCGCAATTAGCCTAACAATAACTATATTGTGTTGAAAACATCAGCTGAGACTATTCAAGTTGTGAATTGCATTTTTGAACTAGTTGGAAATCAGTGCACTTGTTTACAATGACCAAAAGTATTAGAAGTAAATCAAAACGGCGATTTCGTGCGATTAAACGTAGACGTATCTTTAAGAAAATCAAAGATCAACTAATAGAATCTGTCAAGAAAAGCGAAGAAAATCCAGTCCCTTCTGAACAAGTAGCTGACTCGACTTCGAATCACATGGATAGTAAGATTTCGATGTATTTCATTTGAAAATTTTAGTTGTTGAAAAAAAGTTACCAAAAATACTTTGTAATGAACATGGAACCTATCCGGTATGGCTCAATAAAAAAGAACGCAAAAGACAGATAAGAATGAAAAGGCTACAGAAAAAGCGGTCTCATCTTAAGAAAGCTAAAATATAAACTACATCACAAACCTGATATCCTAACCTTGTTAGTCTTTTGATATCGCATCTGTACATCAGCAGACCGAATTCGTGAGAACAAGTTAACGGTAAAAATTCAAGTAGATTTATTAGAAATGAAGAGATCCAAACCTGAAGATAACTAAAATAAAGCTTCGATTATGAAGCGGTGGCAATTAATCCATTCTCCCTATCATTTAATCGACGTACTATTTTTCTTCCGATCTGAAAATGACTACCACAAGTCTATTCTGCACCAATATACAAATTGACTCCTTGGAAAACATTTGCGAATAGCGTATCTAATCCAAATCGTTTAGCATTTTTGAAGCCGAAATGATTGGGCAACAAAGAAGCTAATTTGGTAATCATGCAGGTGTGCTAAGGGTCAATTTCGTAAACGAGCTTGCTTGAAGTAAATTTCTGACACTAAAAGCAGGTTGTCGAACTAAGAATAAACTTTTCTACCCATAAGGAACCCAATTTTTAATAAAATACCCATTTTACAGAACTCAAAATCGCTCTTATGTCCCTTTAATTAAGAAAACATATCACAAAACCCGCAACACGATTTCATGACAATAAGATTTTACGTAATTAGATCACGATAATTATTTACTTACAGCACATTGTCATCAGAAAAATGTTTCATACGATTGAGTTTCAAGACGTAAAAACTCACGTTTTGTTTTGGAAGAACGTTGACTCAATGTTCTCGTTCATAATTAATTGATAATTTGATAAGTCTACGGCTTTTCCGTTGTACAAGAGGCCTGAAAACGTTTTCTGCTGTATTATGACTGCTTTCTAAATGTGGAAAACGAATACTTGACGGTAGAAATTGCTTGCGGAAATCATGGTTTGCAATTACTTCCGGTCCAATCCTTGGCGCACCAAGTTAAGAGGTTCAGGAAACCTATCTCTGGCTATTTCTAAGGATGAAAACTTAGAAATTAAAATGTCCTAAAATGAGGAGATAGTCCAAATCTCTAGACGGGGCTGATGTCACCTATGTAACAACTACAGAAATTGTGTCTCAAAAATTGGCATGTCATACTTCGTTGGTTGTTCGAAACCTGTCATATTGCACACTGTTTGAGGACGATTATCATTTAACCCCCGTACATGTTGGGACAAAGCAACAACCGTTGTTTATTGACATCAGGACAGCCTCGGATTTGTTGGACGATACTAAAACTGCGAATTTCTCTTAGTGAGTTGGACGTGTCCGTAGATGTGGCATGTGTTCTACATTTCCCACGTGCAAGGCACTCCTACAAGATCTAGGGTTTGCCCTTGTTGGTGAGCAGTTGGGAGTAATCGGAAAGCTTCCATATCTAGGTAATGTTGTGCATTTACGAATTCAGCTGCTCCTGTGGAGATAGCTATATCGGGCGTACTTCCAGGCAACGTACACAATGAATGAGTGAACATCTCCCAGCATGGTTTACGAAGGGTCAGTCGAAAACAATACGCTGTTCTATCTTAGCACACCTGGTAGATAAATCTAGATCTTTTCCGGTGATCTATCGTATACCTCCATCATTTCCCAACGGAGTCCGATCCCGTCTCCTGCACATTGCAGAAGCCATAGGAATACGTACATCCAACCCTAATTTATGTGTTCAGAAGAAATTCGTGACACCCCTATCTCTTCCGTGGCCAGATATGACGTAACTAACGGTTGACACTATGTATATTTTTCATCTTATTTTTTACACATTTGCTTATTACGTAATGTTTTTGATGATTATTTGAATTCTATTCGTCCAACTTTGACCTACTTTAGTCATCACATTTTATAAATTTTCCTACTATCCACTTGTACTTTTGCCTTTTTCATTTCATTGTGATTATCACTCGAATTGCCTTGATTGGTTTAACATTTTCATATAAATATTCATGTATATTAGAGTAAAGCCTGATGACGATCTAATCGAAAACAATATTTTTCTCTTATATGTTTTGTTCTAACTTTCACAATGGGAATCTTTAATGTTGGTAGTAGCGTGACTAATGAGATCAATTACGAACAATGACAATCAAGGTAGTTTACGCCAATTTGAGAGGCAATATGATACATTAGTTCAGCTGTAGAATTTCGGTGAGAGCAGTTACCCTGTATGCTTAGAAAACCTGACCTTTCTGTGTTCAGGATGACTCACTATGCTGGATTATCGCCATTTCCAAAAGACTGCTAATAATTAGAGGGAATAACTTATTAATGGTGCGGAGGTTCAACAATGTGTTCAAGTATAGTGATGACCATTTGGCGTCATAATACCTAGACGTCGGCTTCGGTGACTTGGAGCTGCTACGGGTCACTCCAGTCCGCATTAGTTGTTGACACTGAGACTGGTTGAGAAAGGCGGTGGGCAGATTATGACTTGACAGCGGAGTGTAGAAAGAAAACCGTATAGGATTGACATCTGTCGACCCATCTCGACTTCCTCGTTGGAGTGGCTTTTGACGTCACCAGACATACCTTAGAACAGGAGCCAACGGCGATCCTGCTGCAGTTTTATTTTAAATTCTTTATAAATGTGAGATGAACTTTAAAAGGATTCCGAATTGTATTTTATATTCGTGACCGAATTATCTTTACCATATTCCGTCCTTATTATTTCATTTGTTTTTCTGTGCAAATGTGGCAAATACGTCCAGCATTAAACCAAATAAATAGTTCACATACCCAAATAATGTGATTTTGCTTGTCGGAGATAATTTTATTTCATATTCTTTGGGATTCTATATGAAAATCAATCCTTAAACTGATAACTGTAGTGACATTGAGACGTTAGATGTTTGGAATGAAAGTGAACCCTACATAGCCTCTGTAAAAATCTTGCAAAATAGTATCGTCTATATTAAACTGTTGCTAAAAAAACAACGATCACTAAACGAACATCAATGCTTAAAAATTAGTCAAAACAGATAGAATATTTTGTATGTACAAATGCAATCTTTTGCTTGTAAATGTTAGAGATTTAATAAGTAGAAATAAACTGATAATAAAATCTGAAGTGTAAAATGACTCATCGGGAAGCTTGAGTCCTAAAAGAAAGAAAAGATCCTAAGGTTACTTGACGTAGTCTGTTTTCATTTGAAGCACTATTAGGAGAGTGATCATCTTGAATGCTTCGGGCCGTAATAGATGTATGCCTACGGGAAACCCGAGTTGGTCTAGGTGTATTTGGAATAGCTTGAGACATTGGCATTTGACGTCTAACTGAAGGCTTTCTTCCACGGCGTTTCTTGAAGTTTTGGTTGTTCCATATGAGTGAAAGTACTGAGACACGCTCCTGATCTGTAGATGGTGATCCACTGGATGACTCATACCCATTTTGTGCATCTCTAAGCTGTGGAACCTGCGCCACATGGTCAGCTATATCTTCTTGTCTCCATCTATCGCAATCACAGTGAGATGATGAGGTAGATGTGCTGCTACTTTGTAAATCGTCCTCTAGATTGGAGGAACATTCACTAATGGGAACAAGATCCGCATAAGCCCCCGGTTCCAATTCCCAGGCTGCGTCCCTTTTAACAAAGATAAGAAAACCTTAATGAACAGCGTTATATTCATCTGCACAATAAAACACCACCTAATATTTTTCTACTGAGACTCAAGATAATGATATCATAACATACCGAATACTGAAGGTTAAGATATGCTCGCACTGATGTAACTGACTTTGGGGCTAGAAAAGATATTTCCCTTCCCTGGTACTATCCAGGGATTCTAAAGATGATAATCTTCTGAATGAGTCCCACTTCATGACTTTACTACTCTGAAAGATCTTGATTAAAATCCTGATCCATGATGTAAAATACTGAGGAAAGTTTTGTAATTTATAAAACATCCAAACCACTTTTTTCACTGGAGATATGATTCGAGAAGTGGTATCCAGTGAAATCGAAACAAAAATTATGATAACTTCAGAAATTGAAGAACAAAGAACGGATGCATCCGCGCCATTGCAAACTATTTTGATCCATGTTATTCAAAGTATTAAACCACCGGACCCCAATCAATTAGTCTAGACCTACTAACATGGCTGTCCAGTTGTCGGTGACTTCATGCTTTGGTTTCCCTGGCCCTAACTTTCTGCCAGTTTACCCCTGCATCACACATCGCTCGTCGAGGTAATCGGTGGTTAGCTATACGTAACACATGTCTCAACCACGTAAATTGATGAAGATTCACTACTTCATCAATTGATTTGCCATCCTTACCTACTACCCTCTCACTATAACCAACGTTGCTCATTCGAAGGTCCAAGGATATATGAGCAATGCTTCTAAGATACTGACGACCGAATACTAGTACCCTACGAATATCTATCCTTACTGGCGAGATTTCATACCCGTAAAGCAGAACGGAGCGAACTGCTGAGCAGTAGACATGTCCACCGGTTAGCAGACGGGTATTTCTGCTACACGATGAGTGACGAGTTGGCAAAAGCCAGCCGAACCTTCTGTATCCATGCCGCCGCACGCCAGACCATCAAGACTGGTGAGACTCTCAAGACAAATAGAGCAGTCAACACGCTCAGCTATTACACTCCGAATCACTAATTAAGTTGCCGATGCAAGCCAGTCGCGTAGCAGCATTTTGCATCTGGAGGGAGGGAATCGTAACCCTAACATTTTTTACTTGGTTTCTCTAGGTGGTCAGAAGACCATTTTGTCGGCACCTTCACCAAACAGAACTGTGTCGTCAACTCCTTAAAAGTCAGAAGATGAAATTGTCTCAAGAAGCATGTCATTGACAAAGTTAAATAATAATGGAGAAAAAAGACAATCTTAACGGACACCACTTGAAGCAATTAGTTCCGAAAACAGTTCGTCACAGACTCTGATTTGACCGGCAGTGTTCGAGTAGGCAAACTGTACAAGGATAGTGTACTTCTTTGGTACACCTTTCAATGATAAGGGCTGCCACAAAACCTCACGATCAACAGAGTCAAAAAACGCTTTCAGTTCAAAGGACACAACTATTATCGGACATCGAAAAATGTGTCTATCTTGTAGAACTTAACGAAACGTGAATATCTCGTCTATACATTCACATCCGGGTCTGAAAGCGGCCCGGATTTTTCGAGTCTACTGTTCACAAGCGCTAGTTAGGCGTTGAAGCATTATTGAAGCTAACATTTTCAACATTATATTGGTTAAACTTATTCCTCTGTGCTGGTCACAGGAGGACTTCGGTTCTTCCCTATACACTGGAACAGTTAGCAATTAAGACCAGTTACATGAGATTACATCTAGTCCCCAGATCCCAGCTAAGATACCAGTTAAACTAACTTCTAAGATTGGACCAGCACGCTAAAATATCAGGGGTTAGTCCATCAAGTCCTGCTGCTCTCCCTCGCCTTAAATTGTCCATAGTCTTTTCAGCATCATTGAGAGTTAGAGGAATTACATCAACTTGCCGTTCAGGTTGACTGGAGACGGTGGGTAGGCGAAGTGTGGCTGAAAGCCAGTTAGGCTACTCCCTAAGATGATGTTCTGTCCATCGACCAAATATCCTGCATTGAGAGTACACAATAGTCTCGTATTTTACTGAGTCTCATTAACAGTCAGGTCCCTTATACCAGTTTCCTTGATAAGTCTGAACAGTTGTCTACTGCTACCTATCGCTGTCGCCTTTTCCGTCTGTTTCTTACGCTACTCACCACTGATTAAGACCATTGAGCAGGCTTTTTTCAGCCTGCATTTAATCTGTCTCGGCTCCTCATCGTGCTCAGAGCCAGATGGGATGAGTTTTCGAGATCTGTCAGTTCAGTAGATGCTACTGAAATCCACTGATTCCTCCTAACCTTTAGTTTTACCTTACTAGCGGATATCACTGCTGTTTCCACAGCTTTTTGGATATCATTCCAAGCGGCCTCTGGGTGAGTACCACTTATACTGCTAACTGTGTTCCTAATTGCTCTCGAAATATACTCTTCACTTTGTTGACGTTAGGTAGGGGTTTAGTAAGCCGCAGACAAATACGTTCTCCTACTAGAGCACGATCTGGATCTAAACATATGCTCCAGAATGATCAACAGTCTTCTGTTGAACCTCTTCATCGGTGGCTGATAGCTGTGTGATCTATTCAAATCCTTCGTTGGATCGACTTTGGTGGTCGCTATGTCGAAAGATGTTTTCCCCTATATTCAAAGTCGGTATTCGCCAGAAATAGGCCGTTATCTGAGCATAGCTGCAGCATACGGTTGCAATTATCTGTTCTTTGAGCCGCGACATCAAAAGATCCCCTCAGGTGTCTTTCCTTTTCACTTAGTCTACCTACTTGAGCATTAAAGTCACCAGTCATTATTACTATATCAGAGCGCTTAAATTTTTGGAGGTTGGAAAGCTTTCTGTAGAACTCATCTTTCTTCTCATCTGAACTGAAGTCAGTTGGAGCGTGGGCAGATACGACGAAGAGGCAACGTCGGGTTTCCCTATAATTATGAGTCCTTACTGTCCCGTTAAGTCGGACAGCGCATAAGCGACTATCAACTGGGATCCAATCTAAGAGAGCTAGTTCTACCCTAGAACTTAATACTATGCTCACACCAGTTCTACGCTGTTGCTGACTGACTGATTAGCAGTGCAGGGTGCTAAAGGGATGTGAGAAGGATGAGACGTGGAGATAAGAAAGATGTTAGGAGGTGAAGTAAGGATTTGATTGTGACCAATTTGGTCTCGTGTGCTGGTACGAGTATGAGGGCGGATATCACTTCACGGCAGCCCACACCGTGGAAGGGTGTTTCTTGAGGGACCTGTAAAGGATATCGATTGAACGTTGGTCTTAGAGACCTGGGAGCGTGACTGCAGAGCCCAGGCGACAACTGCTTCAGGTCGGTCACGCGCGACCTTTTAAACGGTAGCTCCGTCCTTGTTTAAAAGGCCTTAGACCTGGACATTGTAATCCGTGAAGCAAGGTGAGGTGTGACATTTTTGGGGTAGACCTTTTCTAACCACTTCCTTCCTTGTGAGAAGGCAGCATCGCTGCAGATGCTGGTTGTCCGAGGGAAACACCTTACTGCTATCACACCCCTCTCCAGTCGGCAGTACGACTTCGTCGTTAGACCTTGAGTAGCTCCCTTTAGTTTCATCGTTCTCCAATCGATCTGCCTGTCATGGCAGAACCTACAGGAACATATATTCCAGCCAATATAGGTCGGTTGGGTCATCACGATAGGCAAGCCCGACCACCACGTCAAGGTAACAGCTACGGTCGGTCGAGCGGTCGACCACTTAACTAGTGATAGGGAGTGAAGTAGTCCAGCATGTCGACCACTTCACTTATCTCGGGAGTTTCATCAGCGCTGATGGTCTGGTGACTGACGAAGTCTCAGCACGGATACAGAAGGCTCAACTGGCTTTCGCCAATTTACGTCACTTATGTTGTAAGTAAGATATCTGTTTGCTAACCAAAGGTCAAGTGTTCTGTACAGCAGTTTGCTCCGTTCTCCTAAATGGATGCGAAACATGGCCGGTAAGAGTAGAAGATATTCGTAGGTTACTAGTATTTGATCATAGATGTCTTGAAAGCATTGCTCGTGTATCGTGGGACAACCGAGTAAGCAATGCTATCGTTAGGAAACCAGTACTAGGTAGAGATGGCAAATCAGTAGATGAAGTATTGAAAACTCATCCGTTGAGGTGGTTGGGACATGTGTTATGAATGCCCAACCACCGACTGCCTCGACGAGCCATGTTTTGTGATGTAGAAGTAGGTTGGAAGAAAGCTAAGGGCGGCCAGACCAAAACATGGCATAAATCCATGAAGTCATTGACTAGTGGACTGAGCCATGTCGGTAATTGTCGACTACCTGGTTGGGGTCCGCGAGATGATAATAATCGATGGTTAGAGACCTTGAATGACATGGCTCAAAATCGTTCGCAATGGCGCCAGTGCATTTATTCTTTGTGTTCTCTCATATCCTAATCTTCTGGGTTCTTCAACACCTCTAGTTTTTACTTTCTAAACTTATCTCATTGAATCATACTTCGTGAATAATATCTTCTAATTCTAACCTCTCCGATTACTTCTAATACCTTTACTACCTCTTCCACTATTGGATTTGAATTGACAATTACTTCTCTGTGCTGATGTGGTATGGCGACATGAACTGATGTACTTATGTACGAAGTTCTACGTTGCAACTGACTGACTGACTGAAATGACAGTCCAAAGCTTATTTTGAAAAATAATTTTGTTGCTAAATCCCACTTCTGAACCGTCGATATAAGACAGTCAGTCAGTCAGTTACAAAGTAGAACCTCGTACGTAAGTACATCAGTTCAGCTTGCCATACCACATTAGCACAGAGACGCAATTGTAAATTTAAATCCCACAGTAGTAGAGGTAGCAGAAGTATTAGCAGTAATCGGAGAGATTGGCGTTCTACGATATTATCCAAGAAGTATAATTTAGTGAGATGACTTTAGAAAGAGAAAGATAGAGATGATGAGGAATTCAGAAGGTTAGGATTTGAGAGAACATAGAGAATTAATGCACCTGCGCCATTGAAAACGGTTGATACAAAGGAATACGTACAATAAAAAAGTGTAGCTACAAATTCGCTATTTGAAATCAGATGTTGTTAGCAAAATAATACCTGAATAAGCGACTTGAAACCGGGTATTAGTTTTCGTGACGACTTTGAAAAAGGTATCCAAAAGTTTATTTATGGAGTGTTGATAAGTAGACATAACATTTAAAACTAGGTAGGCAAGAAAGGAGATAATACCATGACTTACTGGTCTGGGACCCATATGCCAGAATCGATGATAGACCTGATGAATATTTCTCGATTTGCACAGTAAGGGCACTTTAGGTAATGTAATGCAGCAGAAACAGCAAAACCTGCAATACAGTTCCTGTGCATCCACGCTAAAGGACAACAAAGTCCATGAATAGTATGATGTTTCCATGCGTCAAAAACAGGGAGCCTCTTTTCAGGAGCAAGACTCAGAAAGTAATCAGTCAACCAATCAGGTATATGTGACATTGATAAAGGCAATGCAACGGATTGTTTTTGTGCTTTGGGTTTTTGAATAGGATTTTGTTCTTCGGGTTCCGAAGAAGAACCAGGTAACTCCCAAGTAGATGTGCTAAAGGAGTGAAACTGCACGATGAAAACTTCGCCACATGGAAAACGAACGATTATTAAACAAGATCAGCGGACATGAAACATAAAGTGCGTAGGCACGATCCAAGTGAAATATTTAGAGAACACACGTTCATAATAATATGGCATTTATCCGATAACATTCGAATTCGAATGTTTGTTTGTATAACTCATTTACAGGGCACTTTGTGTGTACGATAAAAAGTACAATTCCGTGATTACGTTCAGTTTATTGGACTTGATAAAAACAAAACCTAATAGTCAAGTACGGGTTTATATACTGTGTCTTGAAATCACTTTTCACAACAACTCCATGTATCTATTAAATAAGCTAAATGCTGTATGTGCTAGAGATCAACATCAGTACAACAATGTTCATGTGAATATACAGAGTTAGAACCAAGACTTCATGAATAGTTACGGATGTTTTCGATACGCATCCACTGTAAAGAAGTTAAACACTATTTATAGCTTTGCTTCCAGTAAAAAAATAATAAGTGGCGACACAATAATCCCATAAGTCATTATTCATACCCTATATAGATACAACTAACTATTGGTCTAGTTGGTAGGACAGGAAGGGATAAGATAGCAGTAATCTCGTTCACCGTATTGAAGCTGGAGCTGCTAAGTAATGGCTTAGCACACAACCAAACTTCCAACACTTATAAACTACTTGACATTAATACAATCTGGATCCAAACCTATTTCTGTACCAGACATCAGTGAGCGTCGGACTTTTTGAGTTGATCAGTTAGTCAGCTATAACGTCGAGCTTCGAAGACACGTACGTTTTCAGTTGAAATTACAAAACAACGAATTGAAAATGTACTAAGAATTAGTGAACTGTTGCTGATACGAGTTTTCTCTGCCATAACAAAACTTTGCACAATGATATACAAGTTTCTAAAAGCTAAAACTACATTTGGATGAAAGTTAGAAACAACTTGGAGTTTCGCCAAAGATTTGTATCTAAAAAATTTGACTGTTAGATGTAGAAATGTGCGTAATCTGAAAAAATATTTTTAATAGTATAAAATATTCATTCACACACTATGATCTAACAGATGATTTTAGTGAGGAAGATAGGTCAGCAACCAAAAGCGATCGTACATTCACTGGTTGTGGCTATGTGCGAATTTTCTAGCCCTTCCATATGAAAACGTTAAAACTTACTCGGATTGAGAATATCTTCTCTTAACAGAAGACATCCCGTTTGAAACAGTGATTCGTTTCGGAGTCGATGGAGCCACACAAGACCGCCGAGTACGTCTAATTTCATTTGTAACCGGAACAGTTTCCTTTGTTGCCAAAGAATGATTCAGAACGGATTTTCGTCTCTTCACGGGGAGACAACTGCTTTCGAAATCTTTATCCGGTAAAATTGAGAATAGACAGATACAACAAGTGGGAGGTTCCTTGCACTTCGTCAGCCAGCTATCTAAATTCTAAGGTGAAATAGCCGTACATTACATCAGGATTAAATGAGTCCAAAAAATGAGTTACTTCATTTTCGTACTGTTCAACATAAACACTGGAAAAATACTGGACTTTACATTTAAGAAAGAGAAATGTGGTCTTTTATTTTGAAATGAATGATTATGCAAGGACAAACAATTAGTTCCCCTACTATATACTAAATATATCTCTGATAAGGGCCAGCTTCACTAACGGAATTATTCTGAACATTCGAATCCAATTTATCACGGTATACAATCAGGCATAATTATGGACATACGAAGGTGACCCAACCCATGAAAACACCAAATGAGATAGTGAGTGGAATTATTACTGTCCACCAAACAAAAATTATTATTTTAAACATAAAAGAACGAGACATTTTAAAAATGAATCTTAAATACAGAGGCTTGTCTTATCTGACATAGCCATCTTAAACGCAACTACTGTTAAGCCGAAAAACGTTACACAAAAGTTAGACAGCGTAGTGTACTTAATACTATCCTACTTGTAGTCAGAACTTTTGGGATTTGGCTAGTACGATAAAGGACCAAAGAATTAGGACGACTATATATATGTATTTGTGTACGACTGTATCAGTAGATTGCATATATTTTGAATATGAAACAGCACCTAGCTGTGTTGAGGAATATAAAACATAAACAACTATTATCTACTAAGGTTTGCTGGTCGTGACACCATTCAACTGATGAGATTATAAAAGGCGTAAGCGTAAACATACCTGCCTACGGGTGTGACGACGGCAGTAAGAAGGAAAGTTGCCCTCAAATATTGTTACCCCTTGAGCTTTAATTAAGCAAGGAAGATGAAAAGTGGTATGGCAAGTGTTAATAACACAGCCAACACAAGCCCCGGGGAGACGGCATACTGAACACTTTAAGCTGCGACCACGTTTTACTTCACTAAGAATAGAAGAAATAGGGAATCCAACTATAAAATCGTCTGGTGATTCGTCTTCTGCATTTGTTTGAGACAAACCGCTGGCAGCAAACTTTGAACGTGAGATATTTCATAAATTGGGACTTACTATGCAATTCGTATGCACTTTCAACCCATTTTTCTCAATGATGGGTCCTAATAATGGATATTCACCAACTTCGGTACAAAATATACACGCAGTATTATTAGGCTTTAAAAGTTTCCTTCTAGGCATCAGCAGAAGCCAATATCATAATAAAAATCGGTAGGACAAGTGTTTTAGCAATCAAAAAGGCGCGCCAATGGGCTTAAGGGAAATAGGATGTTGTTTAGGTAGAGCTTGAATTCTTTTACCGATTGGTTATTTTGTCGAAAGGTGATTGTCAACTAAATTCTGTGATGTTATACTTTTGTATCTTCTAGAGTACAAAGATGATAGTCCATCCCATTGCTTCATTTATCCACAAAGATTTGAATCATCGTAATTCTAGCAACAATATTTAGAACTCACTCATTGTAACAGCGGGGTGGTCTTCTAGATCTAATATCGAAATCTGGGAAAATCAAAAGGCTAGACAAGGAAGCATGATGAAAAGAACAAAGATCGAATAAGATTTATCCCAAGTAGTAACTTTCTTGGATTTGAAATCGTGAAGACTACCATTTCCATTAGGGGTGAATTTAGATTGTTTTTGAAAAAGACGAGTTTTAATTATGTGTAAGATTATGTATTATGCATTCATGACCTAAGCGTTGATTAATTCCACAAACTAAGCGATCTAAGGACGCTACGGCGAAACATTCAAATTTACTGATGACATGAGATGCTCTGTCGTTATTATATTGTTACGTGGAAGGTAGTCTAACTAAGATATTCATTTATATGAGTTTGCAAAGAAGCCCATCACGACAAATATTTTTCCATAGAACTCCAAAAATGAGTAGATGAAATTGGTATTAGCACTATAACAGACTAAACTTCCCCGCTGAAAATAGACTAAATACACCTTAACAAGACCAAGACATTATATCTAATAGGCTAAGTACTTCTCTGCTCTCCGTAGTCATTGTATTTCACGATATGGTATCTTGAGTATTGGAATTATTGTTTTAATTAGGACTTATTTTTACTCTTAACTGCCCGACGAACTGGATGAAGACCTGCAAGGACCACGTAATTGGCTTTCGTTTTATATATTCGGCATGACAGTGTTGGACATATTTTTGAACATCGAAGTTTGTGTTTAGTTGATTTGCATCATAAAAGTATATCTTCCGATAAAATTTTATGATAAGATTTATCTTGAACACTTATTTCACCTGTATACGTCCCACCTTTTATTGCACAACTATCATTTTCGATTTATTGTCCCACCTTGTCTATATTTCTGTGGTGTTTGAATGAACTAGTGACTTCTTGGTTGTTGTTGAATGCTTGATTTCGAATTCTAAATGCAGTACATTCGTTTGTGCTCATCTCGTAGTTCTTGATCCTAAAATACAAATACTTCTAATTATCATATTGGCGTCGCGATGGAGGTTGTGATGGAACAGTTAGATATTCATTCTACTTCTGAAGCTTTTGAAGATTATTTGGAAAGGTTTGAAATCTGGAGTATGACCAGGAAAGATGTCAAAGATGATAAAATTGTGGCTCATTTCCTGACATTCATCGGAAAAGAAGCGTACAGCTTATTAAAGACTTTGGCATATCCAGAAAAACCTATCTCACTTCCCTAAGCAATTCTTAAGGAGTTATTATTAAATCATGTAAAGTGCCCTGGTTTTGAATGCCGTGAAAGGGCGAAATTTCTTAAGATGATTCGTCAAAATGACCAAAAGGTTAAGGAATTCATTCTTGAATTGCAGAAACAAGCTGTCAAATGTAATTTCGGTGATCAACTTCATGTGCAGCTGAGAGACCGATTAATTACAGGAATTAACATACCTAGTTTGGAAAGAGAGCTCTTAAGAATGTCAAACTGTTCCTTTCAAGATGTTAGAACTGCTTGCATTAACTACGAGGCGTTGAATGAACTTGATATTCAGTCGATGAAGATTTCCAATACTTTGATTAGTTGTCATGATGAAAAACAATCATAGGGTCAATCAAAATTGGGTTCGTTTAACAGAGGTTCCTATTCTCGTGTAAATATGAACGGTGATTCAATAAAGAATTACAAAGGAAATCAGAAAGGTGAGACCAAGTTTGGCAAATGTTTATCATGTGGAAAACTTCATTCTCGTCATTCATGTGCATTTCGTTATGCTAAATGTTTTAGATGTGGTAAGATAGGACACATTCAAGCAGTATGCAAAGCCACTGTTTATTTTTCCTCAAGTAGTACCAAATCTTGTAATTTAGATCCCGATAATTCAGCTGATCCTAATGATTATTTATCTTTGTCTACCATTTCGAAAGGTAATTGTTACGGGAGGAATAAAGACATTTTGCTGATCAAAACCTTTACATAAATATCATTAATTTCACTGTGTTTTTTGGGTATATTTGTTTTACTTAACTCATGAACTTGTTTGAATTATTATTTTCTGCCATTTTGGACTCCCGTTTCTCTTGGTTGTTCGTTTGCAGTTTTTTGCTCCAGGAATATATAAAATAGAAGGTAATTGTAATTATTATAATTATTGTTGTTAGAACGACATTGATCGTCTATTTGTAATAACATATTTTGGTCGATTTTGTGATTTGGAATAAACTTTGGCACCTACTTTGGAGTTTCGTTCTTATTTACTATTTGGGAACGTGAATTGCAAATAGATCGACAACCGTGCTTCAAAGGATCAAAAGGCAAAAAACTGGACGTAACAGTAATGCTCATATTCAAAAGCGATTATATACATCAGTTGGTTCATGTCATGACTTTATTGTGGACACAGGCAGTATAGAGTCCATTATTTCATTCAAGAACATGAAATCGTTAGATCCGAACGTTGTGGTTCGATCCACTGAAGTATCAATATTGGGGATTACTGGACACAGACTGCCTATACGAGGATGTTGTGAATTGCTAATAAGAGATGATGATTCCTCATACATACCTTGTGAATTCTTAGTTAGCGAAACAGGACTGTGAATACTGGGTTTAAAGAATTTGAAAAAGCTTAAAGTGGAGTTGTCTTTCCTAGTTTCTAAAGAAAATTCTGATGCTTTACTTAAAGATTTGATAGCCACTAGTGCTAAGTGCATTGGCTATAGACTAACATTGAACTCCCGTTTGTTGAAGCAAACATGCACGACGGTAGAGGCTGAAGAAATTCTAAATCGACTTCATGGTTCTAAAGTGTTCTCGAAAGTTAACCTAAAAGATGCTTATCTTCAAATCCCTTTAGATCAATCCTCATCTATTTTGACGACAATTAATACACCTTTTGGTCTGATTAAATACAATTTCCTTCCATTTGGGCTTAGTTGTTCTCCAGCCATATTCCAGGAAGTTATGAATAAGGTGGTTAATGATCTTGCAGGTGTTGAAGTTTATCAAGATGATCTGATTGTTCATGGTGCTGATAAGGGAGTTCATGACCAGAGGCTTATTGCTTTATTGCGTCGTTTAATTGAGAAGAATATTACAGTAAATCCAAATAAGTGTTCATTTTGTGTATCTAGTTTTGAATGTCTTGGATACCTAGTTGATGGTAATGGTTTTAGACCAGATATGAAACGACTAGCTCCACTGACAAATGCACCGTCTCGTAAAAATCTTGCGGAACTACGTTCACTAGTGGGTGCTCTTCAATACTATTCCCATTTTATTCCTAATTTTTCTTGTCGTGCAAATTGTTTATTAAATATTTTGACATCCAATTCATTCAAATGGGGTGAGGAACAAGAGTCATGCTTACGTAGTCTGTAGAATTCTTTTTGAATGTTTTGTGTTTTGGAAAATCCCTCCATGTTTACATATTTTTGCTATGACATGATGGACTTTTTCTCTTGACATTTTTGGTATTTTATTTGATTCCAATTTGAGATTTTACCATTGTATGTTGTTATTCTTTCCATATTTTGTACTTATATTGAAGTTTTTGTGTTTGCCTTTGAACTGTACATATATTGTTTAAATTTGATATAATATGGCTACCGCCACATTTTTTGGATAGACGCGGTGGCTGCTGGACTTAGTGTCACTTACTAGCTATTGTAATAGATACTCTACGGAGTAATTTAGTCCTGGAAGAAACAAAAATACCGTAAGCCTCTGTATTTCCATTTTATAACAATATAGAGACGTTTTAC